TACACTGTTCGTTGACCACTCTAAACATTGCCACGAGCAATCCATTGACGCTGCCTTATGGCCAACTTCCTTCGGACTTGAACCTGAAGACCACAGAAGCTTTCTCTACTCTCGGCAAAAATTGAACGGAGGCCCTAATTGTGCAGGTCATTATGGTTGTCCGACCGATCGCAAAATTATCAGTTCCTGCAAAATTTCCAGCACGCCTACCCAAAGGAAAACCTGCGAAGCCATCTGATTGAGTTCGCTACGCCCTACATCCGGTTGTAATGTTGTCGAGATTTTCTCGCCCTCAAGTGCCTCAGTCCTGGAATGCTCCTCCAACTCACTTGTTTCTGACCCCCCCTTAAGGCTATTCAAAAGATAACTTGAAAGCAAGCTACAAGTTTCAAGTTTCATGATACAGACTGTTCCTGTCAAGGGAAGACACAGAGGCAAGCAGTTGGTACATTCGTCAGGCCCCTATATAATCGAAGCAGGCGTATTTGTTTCCGTTTAAACCTGAAATCCTTGATAAACCGAAAAACGCGCGTTTGATGCCTATTCATTTTAATCCTATATATTTTACTTCAGGTGTCTCTTGGGAATTGTTCAGCAGTTACTATTATACTTATACCAACTAATGTTCTAGTGAAACAAATTAAAAAATACCGTTCGGTTATATTAAGATTTTTATGCTGCATTCCTCTTGAAAAGCCAGCTGTTTGAAATGCTACGCAATTGGGCTTCGTATTCATATCTTGAACAGGGAAATCAGAAGACATAGGTTATTTGGTGACGTCGCCACTTCGTGCATTCTTATCAATCACACAATATCAAAGAAATCGTAAAAATGCAAGCATTTGTGCCACCAGAGTAGGCTTAAAGCCACAATCAGCTGTGTTTGAATGCGCAGCGACGATGGTTCGTGAATGATAAAGGTGACCTCTAATAAACTAGACATATGAAGCTAATGGGCGCATAATAGGACTGTGAACGACTCAACAGGATCGACTCGGTGTTTGGTGGTAAGCGAGTCTTTTTTGACTGCAGAAGGAAGTCGTTTGCTCGATTCAATTTATTCCCGTCTTCACAGGTAGCGTTCCACCAGTCTGTAGCGTAAAAATTCAAATTTCTATAATAGCGGAAAATGATTAATTCCTTGTACATCAATGTCAAATCTCCCATTCCCTGCAATGAACAATTACTTTGTCATTTTCTGGCACTTCTACTATTAAAATGGTACAGTATGCATCTAAATAAGCGAACTCGCTTTGGTGTATGAAGGCATATAATTGCGTCGTTGCAATGGGTAAAAAATTGTAAAAGTGGACCTTATTGATTAATGAACAGTTATCACGATGAAAGTTGGCGTGCGTTTAGCCGCATACATGCTACGTTCACACAGACAGCAATAAAATATAACGGCCGGAAAGAGAAATTTATCACAGATCTTCAAACTTTTCGAAACCCTTCATTAAAACCAAAGTACAGTGCCCTCGACGATTCGAAGACAAATTAACACAAAAGGCTGTTGTCCATATGCTAAGATCTAGGTATATTTGTTAGCACATAAAGAATTTAATAACTAGTTCCTTCTTATATTTTTTGAAATACAGACAGGTGGAACACCACAGTGTTCACAGACCAAATACGACTGCACAACCGCTTGTGGATGGGTTCATTGATTGACATCTAGATTTCGGTTCGTGCTCCCAATGTAGCTGTCTTTACAGCTACAGAGGAATTTACATAAAGAGAGGGCAACGTACTTCCACGTCGTCCGTGTCTTAAGCGACCACATAAGCTTAGGTTTTGTCGATGTAAGCAGCCGCAGTTCCGCCGTATTGTAGACTCTTTTGTGTGGAGCACTTAGCCAGTTCTTGGTGACCTATGTTACATGATTACCTTTGAAAGGTAGTCTGATAAAGATGGGCTAATTTGGAACCTTTAGGACAACTTGGATTTAAGCCTACCCTAGTGACGCAAGTGTTTGACTTTTTACGACTTATACATGGAAAGAACAAAGCACCACCAATCAATATGTCAACATTTCGATTGTTCTCTTCAGTCGCAAACACAATACGATCAGAAACACACAAGGGACTATATACATGTTTGCGACTGAAGAGAACAATCGAAATGTAGACATATTGATTGGTGGGGTTTTCTCTTTCCATGTATATAATCCCTTCTGTGTTTCTGATCGTATTGTGTTTTCGACTGAAGAGAACCATCGAAATGTTGGCATATTGATTATTGGTGCTTTTTTCTTTCCATATTTACGACAGTTGATATTTGACTTGTTGCATGTTTCCTGATTGATTAGAAAGCACGAAGTGGCGTCGTCTTATCACGAGTTACGTCTTCTGATTTTTCTGTTTGCAAGTATAAGGGGAAACAGTTGTTTTATGTTTTGAACTTGAAGCAAGATCACTAGGTGAAACTCCCTCTTCTTTACCACATTTCTTATCCTCTATTCATTCTGGTTCTAGTAACTTACTAGCACTGACTTGCATGTTAAAGCGACAATATTAGCCTGCTTGTTGGTAATCCCTACGGTTATCTGAGAAGAACAAACGAAATACTCCACGCAAGGTTTGTTTATGTGATCTCCTAAGTCTCACGGATTTTGATTTGAAGATTGAATGATAGCAGTGTATATGTCTGGCTTCTGAAGCACAGTAGTCACATTGTAATCCAGATATTCCGCAAAGGTATTCCCGCAGCATGCTATAGATAACTATATAAAGAGTACCCAATAACACGATTCCATGTGTATTTAAACTCTGTATGTGAAGCCAAAAGTATTCTTGTTTTCTTGGAAATACGTAAGTTGTAATTGACGTACGTTTCCATTCGTGGGCCAGTAATTTCTGCATACATGGATCGCAGCCGCCTAAGGCATATGTTCGAAATTCTGTTTGGTGTACAGTATATCAAGCCATAGATCAACGAGGTTTCCGAGTCGATTTCTCTTACCCACATTGAGATTCAGAACAATAGCTTAATGAGCGTTTGTTCGCTAGATCTCAATGAGAGGTATAGCAACTTTGTGTTGAACTGAGTTCTGCGCAGCTAAACACAATGGAACAACCGAGGAACATCCGCAATTTACTGGACGATGCTTTCCGTTCGGAGTCTGGTTAACCGTAAGGGTTAGCCGTCTGGCCGAACTTGGCCTTGACTGAGGCTCATCATAGCCTTTCCAAAAGACTTGGATACAAGATGTGTAGGTACGCGAAACTTTGAGGCCAAAGGACACGTTGGGTCTCATTTCAGGTATTGTACACAGAACTATAGGAGTCGACGTGTACCGCGGTTAGGTATCTATTGAATTACGATGTAGCCAGTATGTCGGGGCTAAATGCATTATGATAGCCTTACAATCACACTGCGGACAGCTGTATCCAAACGATGTTTGAAAGCCATAGAGATTTCTAAAGGGATTCATAATGTACAATTAAAATTTAAGGCAAACTCAAATGGACAGCCCTTCTTTAAATAAGTGAACACCATCGGTGGATATTTTTGTTCGTCGCAATCAGCCGACAATTCAGATATGTCGACCAGCTATCCGGAGAAGCACCAGACGGCCGTTTCGCCCTATTGGGGCTCATCAGTGGTGTGCATCCTTCGGTCCTTTGCGGAGGATCGGACCCATGACTGCTAGTGGCTCTTGCCAACTAGCCCGCAGCTTATGCAACTGGGCCATGGAGGAGGGTATCTGACTATCCTGAATTGAAATAAGTAACAATAATAATAATAATAGGTAATAATAAGTAATAAGTAATACCAATTCGCCAGTACGGATTCCACAAAATGCTATGTCGATTCATAGCTGCCGTAACCGGGAAGTCCTGACGCCGGAAGGCCGACCGCTGTCATCTGCATGGCAGGTGCCTGCATGGCAGTGGAGGATGCGTCGGGCTATATCGCATTTAGCTAACAATTCACCATAGTCAGATACCGTCCTCCATGGCGCAGTTGCATAAGCTGCGGTCTAGTTGGCAAGAGCCACTAGCAGTCATGGGTTCGATCCTCTACAGAGGACCGAAGGATGCGCACCACTGATGAGCCCCAATAGGGCGAAACGGCCATCTGTTGCTGTTCCGGATAGCTGGTCGACATATTTGAATTGTCGGCTGATTGCGACGAACAAAAATACTCACCAAAATCCTTCTATTCTTAGGTAATACCATCGGTGGATCCCCTAGCGATAATTTTGAGGATGAAACATGCACACTGATGAAGCATGGTTGCCCGGAGTTTGAGTAAACCTCTTGTTTAAATTAATTCACAACAAAACAAACGCAGTCATTCGTGTGTAAACCAGTGCTAGGTACTAATTCCCACCTGAAGGCGAAACCTGCTTAATGAACTTGGTCGCACTGTGACTTGGTCAAACGGCGAAATGATGTATTGGTGAAGGCTCCACACGCCACCATCTTCACCCTCCAACCACGATCTTTCCCTTGACGCATAGTACGTAACCAAGTAGCTTTCATTTGCGTGGGTCTTATCTTTATGTATTGCGACAAAATATCTGAAGTGTGTTTCTCACCTTCAGTTAAGGTGCGATGATGATGATGGTAATGATGATGATGATGGTGATGATGATGATGATAATGAAGAAGAAGAAGAAGAAGATGATGATGATTGATAAATGATGCTGAGGATGCTTTGGGAAGCCAAGCTAACTACAATTACTCGCGTCCGTTAGTTGTCACGTGAACGTCCTACCTTTCACAAGTGAACCGGCGTTTCCGCTACTCTCTTATTATATCTTACAAGGTCCAGTGATTTAACACCAGTTGGTAAGAGTTTTGCAATCACCGGAATGCTTGTTCCAGGATAAACGAACTCAAATATTTATACTTTTCCGCATATGTCACGTTATGTGTTGGTTTTCGTACAAGGTTAAGTGCTAGCAATGGCAATGACTTGGACCGGATAACAAGCTTCCTTTCAGTTCAATGTTTACTTTCGAACTCAAATTCTCTCATTCCTTCACCCACCAGATATGTTTAGAGAAAGGCGCACATGTGTTGGCAAAACAAAGTGACGAAAACACCCCTGTTCACTACGCATGCATCAAAGATGATTTGGAGTGCGTGCAACTCATGTTCAACGCAAGGCCTGAATCGAAAGCGAGGGTTTTGCGGATGCCCAACAAGAATGGTTACACACCACTTCATCTGGCCGCTGTGTACAATCATGAGAAGCTGATTGAATATCTAGTCGAACAGGTATTTGGGCTTTTTCATTGTTATTAGTTACAACTCGTTTTGTGAAAGAATGCAGTTCGTCTACTTTAGGAGTATATTAGTCAGTTCAGGCAGTTGGTTGGCCGATCAATGATGCTCGCGAATGCCTGCGGGAACCACCCCTCAGCAGTCGGATTCTCAGTGCACAGAGAGATGTTGACTGTGCACTTCATCCGATTCAAAGAAAAGAAAGAAATTAAAAGAAAGAATATTTGGAACTAAGCCGAAGGACCGGAAACGAGCAGATGGATTACAGTTTCGCCTTTATCGCGCACACTAGATTCTCTCTGATGGCACTCAATTTGCACTGAGTTGTATCCCTGGTACAGGTGGATGGTATGGGTGCTGAATGCTAGCGGATTCTGATGTGTTCCATCTAGTCTCTAAGTAATGGGTTAAAATATATCTATGTGCGCTCCATACCTACGGCCGAAGTTATCATCAACAAGAGTTACGTGAACATTCACTTTCGAATGCCAACTGCACCAAGACAAGTGCCGTAAAGCCCCGGCCATCAGGGACAAAAGGCTTATTGAGGTCAGGCCAAGCAACAGAAAATACGGGATAGATCGTCTATAAGATGCGTTAATATATGCTGTCTAAGTAGCACCATTACTAACGACGCCGTTACACAATACTGTTCCACTTTATCCCAGTTAGACAACGATTGGCAACCGTCATCCAATCAACAGAACTTGGCCAGACCAATAGTGCAGCCCGTTCGGTTAGTATCTGGGGGGCTGTATCATAGGCTGGACTGATATGCCTGCACCCTACAACCAACTATTCCCATCATAGCATCCACTAGAGGTCAATATGATGCGAATTACATGATTTCTGGTCTATCCGTCTACCTCTCCCTTTTATTTGTGGAAATAAAGATTTCCATCAAATCATATTTTTCTCATATCACAGAGCAGTCTCCATACTCCTCTGATGAATTCGCACTCTAGTTACCCCGGTAATTTTATGGATATCTGTGTGTTTGACCTAACAGATGATGTCTTGCATCAACATGAAATAGTTCCCGCGTTAGAACATGGGCACCAACTGACATATTTCCACATAGCGTGTGCATGCGTGTGCTACAGGCCATTTTGGACTGATGTGGGCAGCTTAGCAGCGTGCAACTTCTCATTTGCTCAACTAAGTTACCTGATTTCTTTCCGATTCCATAGCCGCTTGATTAGCTGACACAGTGCGTTTTTTCCAAAGCCTTCTCAAATGACGGAATTAAATGAGAGCTTAGATTTTTGAAGTAGCCCCCATATGTTGCACTCTGAATTATGAAAATGGCTCCAACTAGGGTTGAGAAACGTAATCAAAATCGGTCATTGCTGTATATATTGAACAATTTCTGTCCCCAGGGTTCCCCATTGGAATTGGTCGACCGTAACAACTGGACCCCGCTGCTGCTTGCCGCAATGAAAGGATCATTTCAGGCATGTGTACAGCTTCTTCGTCTAGGAGCGAACCCTAGAGCACACGATCTGTACAACCGCAACTTGGTGCATCTGCTTATGTTTTTTCAAGGACCTGGAGTGCGGACCGTGCTCCCGGAACTAAACGATGTAAGTATCCGTAACTAACCTGTCCCTCAGTAATCGTGGATAATATGTTTCCGTTCGTTTTAATCAGCAGTCCCAAAATCAAGACCTACATTAGAATTTAGAAAAGCAACGTTATGGTTACTCGCGATCACTGCATTTCATGAGATTGAATAAGTATTTGTGCGTAGAATAGCTCATGGTATACTGGGAAACGCGAAATGCCTACCGATTTCCAAAGGACCGAATGTGCGATCACCGATATGCAGACAGTGGTGACATTCCGGTTGAGATTAAGTTCGAGGAATTCCCATCAAATGGTTTAATTCCGGAAACTAACTTCGTGCTCACAGCACATCTCTCAAAGGTACGCTGTGAAGTCGCGTGAAGCATTAATCGGCTACTCTAAACATCTACGGGCACCAGAAAGAAATTGGAAGTACCAATTCACCACTGAAACTCATTTAATCGTGTAGCATATTTTGTGCAAAAATAATGGTAGCGATATGAGTTCGGTGCCTAGCGGCCGGTACGTTCGACCTTACTGTACGGTTGCGAAACCTGGCCCCTTAGATCAACGGACATAAAGAGGCTAGTTACGTTCGACCACCGGTGCCTTCGTAATTTAGCTCACATCTGGTGGGAACACCGCGTGAGCAACGAGCGTGTTCGACGCCTTGTTTACGGCACAGGAAAGGAAATGAACCGCTCAGCACCGTCATTTCACGCACCAGGCTCCGATGGCTCGGCCAGGTGTTACGCATATCAGCCCACCGACTCCCGCGACGTGCGTTGTTTGCGCGCCGGGGGTGTGGATGGAAGAAGAGGAGGAGTGGCCAAGCGATGACTTGGTCGAGAGGAATGAAGGCCCTCACTTCTGAGCTAGCCTCGGTTGGAGCGTCTCGGCTCCCTGGTTGGGGTCCGAAAGACGATGAACACGTTTGGTTGGACACACTTATTGATATGGCTAGGAGCCGACCTCAGTGGCGTTCGTGCTGTGAGTTTCTTTGTCCCACCCCATCCCTCTTAGCCTCCCGCTCCAACCACGATCTCATTATTTAGCCTTATATAATTTTGCATAGTAATTTTTTCTTTGATGTACAGTAGCCGGCTGGTAGCTTACCGGAAGGATGCCCATCCGTTACCGGTAGCTCAGCCGGCTTGCAACAGTTGCTTTTCTTCCTCCTTTTTCTGTGTATTGCGGCACAGTGCCTGAGGTGTTCCCCACCTCTAGCTAACGTGTATGATGATGATGATGCCTAGCAGCCGGAGATGCATAATGGATGAGGGACTGGCATAGGTGAAGACAGTGCGCCAGAATCTGGGGGACGAGTACAGCCCTAACGGCTCAGATGCATCACTACACATACTCGTCAAAAGAGTTTGCAAATGGAATACATGAGTTCCCATCCAATCGAATCATATATACATTTCCGGCATCGGAAACTAGCAGATGTTGTCTGCCTCCAATGGACCCTAGCAACTCAGAAATTGTGTACACCTGGTTCGAGCGTTACTGGTCTTCGCGTGATATTATTTCCATCCGTTGCCCTGACGCGGTTGTACATGTCATCAGTATGGGCAAAAATGTGGAAACCACGATGTCTGGCCAAATATTGTGTGTGTCCTATATAAATAGTCGATTCGTGCGAGCTGAATTGGCATTCGAAATCCAACTATGAGAAGCAATGAAACCAGGGTCTGTGACGAGTGAGGTCGTAAACCCACCGAGCTGAAAATCGACTGACAACATCCAACTATCATACTGGATGGTGGTAATTACTTTTGCTCATCTGGACAGTATCAATGCTGGTCCACTTTCCTTTTCTCCCTCCTGCTGACTATATAATGAGAGTATCAGTGGCTAACAAAATTTATTTCACAATTTCATTGGTGCATTTTTGTATACCCTCAGTGTTTCTGCATTGCGTTGCGCTGTCTGGCGATCACTTTTGAAGCAAATCTCTGACATTTTGACCACTAAAGCCCCATCTGAAGTGGGGATTCGCAAATTGCTCAGTGTCTATGACTTGTGCTTTTTGCTTAAGCTGCAGGGAATTAAAAACGGTAAATCGCTTGGAAGTGTGAGTGATCAATTTTCCACCAGAATCAAAGCAATATAGCCGGAGGTGAATACAGTTGCCATTCGCAACCAAATGGAGGCATCAAATATACCAAATCCCAAACAACTGCACTCACAACACAACTACATCAAAAATTTACTACGCTCAAATTAGCCAATAACTGTGGCTTCAAGTCTATAGAAGTTGTATACTTCCAGACCTCATAATACGCAGTGGCCTTTACCAGACAATGAATTTTGGTAATTGACCAATCCAAGGGATGTCGTGCAAAATCGTGGGCGTAGGAGTATACATGCTACCACATTGATATACTGACCTCGCAAGGGTTCAGTGGTACAGAGAGAATAGGGTACCGAAACCCAAAGAAGAACATGAAGAAAATGACTTTAAACGATGACCTCCACGGACGCTAACGTTACAAGAATATGAGGTCACCGACAGTACTAGTTAACATTAAACGCGCTCATGGCGTGTCAATGTAATGAACTACAACCAATGTCCAAACAGCGCAAGAGCATAGCGATTGAAAGAGTCCAGTGCCTCAATAACACAACGAATGGTACCAAGCGAAGTAGGGATGAACGTGTTCAGAAGTCGAAACGAAGTATACGTGTGAGTGATTTAATGTGGTGAGACAAATTCTCAAAGTGCAAGTGAACATAGAACAGATTTTATGTCAGGCCACATAATCTGGATTGAGATGTAAAACACACAAACTTTGTGTTGTGACAGAGGGAAAGGTCTAGATAATAACTAGTCGGAATCACAGCGAGAGGAGCATGGAGCAAACAAACCTCTCACGAGGTCGAGTAGGCTTGCTTCTACAGGAGTGATTGTCCAACTGAGCGGAAATCGTTGACCCATTGGTAACCAGGCCAACCTGTGCAGTCTGAACATTCATTTATATTCCAGAAATAGTGCTATGAATCTTTTTCGTATCATCGTATACTCGTGGTGAGCTTAAAAGTTGAACTAATCAGAAAACGCATTTGTTTTACAGACAATTTAGTCAAACTGTTCATAACTACGTGTCATCTGAGCATGTAATCCCGGTGCCTCTGATATGCAACATGTCTCATCCAACCGTCCACACTCCAGTGTGGGATTGTATTCTTTCTAGCTGAAAAGTCTTGTCTGGTCGCCTACGTGTATAGTCTATGATGTGACCCTAACAGTCCAGTTTCGTGCTCTGTCACACCGCCACGAAAGCATCTTCGCAACCGAAGCTCCAACCAATTCCACCACATATGAATGGTTAGTGTTTAAATGCCGTTAGCCTGTTCGACCTTTTTCCTTCCGTGTATGACTCCCAATCGTACTCTATAAATGCGTCGCCTCTGAATTCCATTATTTCAGACTGTGTCTCCAGTTCTTCCATTTCTCCGATCTGGGGATGAGTGTTATCTGTGCGGCTCTAGTTTCTAGATGCAAACTCACCACATATACAGGCTGAAAACTACCCGGTGTCATTCAACCGACCTCAGAAACTTGCATAGTTTCAATATCACATGTAGTTATTTACCTCGACTGTAGGCATACGGTGTACCCCAGATGCATAATTTTACGCTTACTTGATGGCCTGTTATGGAGTACAGCTTCTCGCTGCGCGTAGGGGATCCACGTTATTGGCGAGTATCGAAAGTCGTGTTCCAGGTATAGTGGCTTTCTCGCTTAACCTATCTTTGCTGAAATTGCGCTAGACTTGTAGACTTACCTTACCAATCATGTACAACCTCGGCCATTGCCAAGTGGCTTTAAAACAGTTAGGTGTGAAGTAAACGGAAAATACGATCCCACTCACTACCGAGGGGTCTGATTAGTGAAGTGACTGGACGCAACCAAGATTGCGCTAAACTATAGGTTGAGACACAAGAATTACCCTTGCGAAAGACAGCTACCACTACAGTTCGACACTTGCAACTCTAATGGCCTCGCTTTACTTCAGCAATAATAAGATAATAATGTATCAGCTGTACGCTGTAAGGGCGTTTCGCTACCGCGCGACGATCACCAGTCGCGTGGGGGCTAAGTATACCGTAAGGACGTCAGCCCGTACGCGGATTGAAACTGGTGAATTTATGATTACAACCCATGTGTGCAGACCCCTCGGTCACTAACCGACACATTAGTTTAGGACTAGAATAGATTGATTTCAATTAAAACGGCGGGAACACCCCGCAAAACAGGACAGAAGAGCGGTATTTGGATACAACTCCATGTTTTTAGATAGACATCGTCTGCTTTTTAATTATCTAACCCATTACTGATCTAGGGTTAATAAACCTGTCCGAGTGACGCCAGCAGAAATAGTGCGCTTGTCTGTACTGCATGTTTGGAATCTGCAATATTTGTAGTTAACAACTCCCTGTTTACAGTGCCCGGAAAATCCAGCGTTTCATGCTTTCCGCAAGCGCTTGGTGTGTACGACAGGCCGTACGAACAATACACTATACTAAAATGGCAGCCTGGCAGAACCAACATCTTACAACACTCGAGAGTGCACTACGCAAAGTGATTATAGATCACAAAAGTTTGTCTTACTTGCCCTACTAACAGGCTTACAGCAGTAACAGTGTGCAGCGGAAGTTGTCTGAGTCTGCTGCGCGATCTGAAAATGGGCATCATACTCTAAAAAAATCCCGACCACACATACCATCATCTTTTGAATCTCAGCCAAAACACGTCTCTGAAGAACCATGAGCTTAAGCTGGCCACTCAGTACAGCCTACTTGAATGCCGACGTAAAATTTCCACCGTCCGAGCGTCACACTCATGAAACTGCTTCTTTGCGCGCGCGTAAATATTGCATTCCTATTGTCACACAACACAAAAGACAACTTGACGGCCCACGGACACCTGTTCATTACTTGTTGCAGCTCGTGCCCATGAAACACTTCATCGGTGCATTTACTTGGGAGAACTATGTCACACTCCCATTAG